CTGCCCCATGGGGGGGTTCGGGAGCCCCCCAGAACCCTGTTCGGGATCTGCCCCGAAGCCTCGGTTCCCACGGTGGGTGCGTGAGCCCTGCCCTCTCCCCGGCCAGGGTGATCGAGTACCTGTACAGGCAGCACTGCCTGGAGAAAGGCAAGGAGCAGCCCCAGGGGCCTGCAGCTGCTGTGGAGGATGAGCTGCTGGTGATGGACGACAGCACCATGTGGCAGGAGGTGAAGGGAGGGATGGAGGGTCCCTTGGTGGGAGGGGGATGTGAGGCTGGGCTTGTGCCTCTGTGTGTGTGAAAACCAGCCCCGTGCGTGGTGCCGGAGGCTGGAAGTAAGAAATTTCCTTTAAGAAGTGTTAAATTGCTGGAGAAGTGGTGTTTGAGCCGGCTCCCCCCGCGGTCCCTCTCTGCCACAGGTGGAGGAGCTGAGCCAGCTGGAGACGGACGCGGAGGAGAAGGTGGGCAGAGCAGACCAGAGCCTGGCACAGGTAAAGGGGGTTTCCTGTGGGGTGGGGTGGCGGATCTGGTCCCTGTTTCCTGGATTCCTCTCCCCTGCTGTGCCAGGAGGGTTCCCAGCATCACCTGGCATCCCTGGTCGCAGGAGGAGATGGATGAGTTGTGCGACCCAGCCGAGGCGAGGAGCCAGCCCTCGTACCACCATGGCAATGGTCCCTACAACGATGTCAACATCCCTGGGTGCTGGTTCTTCAAGCTGCCTCACAAGGCAAGTTGGGTGCTCCGGGGGCCTGCGTCACCCTGCCTGGCCACCCCGCGTCCCAGCTTCTCTGGTCCTGTGTCCCCTTACCTGTCACCCCTGTGCTGTGCCACTCCTGGGACCCCCATGGTCTTGTGCCGTGGGACAGGCTGGTGGAAACGCGTCTCTGCAGCCGGGACAGGAGGGTGGGCAGAGCTTTACTGATACCGAGCGGTGGCACGCTCAGCCCTGGCACCTCTTTTGTTGCTGAAGGACGGGAACGCTAACAACGTGGGCAGCCCTTTTGCCAAGGATTTCCTTCCCCGGATGGAGGACGGCACCCTGCGAGCCGCCGTGGGCCGCATCCACGGGACCAGGGCCCTGGAGATTAACAAAATGATCTCATTTTGGAGGAATGCTCACAAGCGCATCAGGTGAGCGGCCACCTTCAGCTGAATCGCGACGTCTCTGCGGGCGGGCGGAGGCTGCGAGGCAGCCACGGGAGGTCGTGTGGATGCAGGGGGCTCAGTGTCTCGCCTGCCGCGTGTCCCCCCAGTTCCCAGATGGTGGTGTGGCTGAAGAAAGGGGGGCTGCCCCCTGT